AGATAGTAAGATAGAGAATGGGACTTAATCATTTATAAGTTTATTTCTATTACAGTATATTTTGAAACAATTATGTTGCCAGTACCTCCATCCATCCTTTCTAGGCCAGCTACCACTAACATCTGAATGCCATCCCAGGACATTTTGCAGAAGCATTCTCATTAAAAATTGAATACATTTTAGGATATGCCGTGAAGCATAATTTGGTTTTATATCCTATTGCTCATTCTGGAGTTATGTAAAATGCTTCACATAAATATGTATAATGCAGTGACTGTAGGCAACTGGACCAAAGCAATAGCTCATCAAGATTATTTTGCATTACAACCTGTTTTATTGAGTGAGGAAATACAAGCCATTCTCTGAATGGTTCAATCAAGCTTTATCCTCCCTTAATGTGTTTGCTAGTGGTACCATCATTCCACATCTCACCTAAAAAAGAGTAATTACTTTAACATGGAGGAAGGGTGGTTCTCTGGTTATGTAAATGGATTCTTAACCGAGGAAATTGGGATTCATTTCCTAGCTCTGCCAGAGACTGCATGCATGACTCTGAGTAAGTCCTCAACTCTGTGCCTCAATTCCCATTCTTCGTAAAATAGGGATAATATTCTGCTTTGGCTATTTTAATGGTAAGCTTTTTCAAGTCCGGGCCAGTCTCTTACTATGGGTCTGAAAATCAAAATACATTCCTGATAACCATTGAGACCTCTCGCTGTGACAGTAATACAGTAATAAGAGAACAGACACTGCTAGTGCTGCACTGTTGGGCTGACTTTGGTTATACGCTCCAGTCTTGATATGGAACTTAAGCCCAGCAGGACCTAGTGGCACAAGTTCTGCTACATGACTCATCATAACAAATCATATAACTTGTTTATAACATGTTAAATATATTTAGCTAAACATATAATATATGCTAAATAGATATTGCCCTTCATGAAATAAGGGCTAAATCACAATTTCATTGATGTTACTTGGCAAAAGTATTATTGATATCAAGGGACTGAGATTTTTGGACCTTGACAAAAGCAGCTTATGTCTATGATTAGACTTAATGTGTGGGAGGCTGAAAGGGGCAAAATACCATTGCTCAGAGGCTATTTATCTGAAATGGCTTTAATGTGGTTAGTGTGTGTATGTGTGAACTTCTATTAGTCGCAAAAGGAGCCTAGGTGAGTTAAATGGGGAAAACCTTTAAGATCATGCTTACTGTAATGAAGTAACTTATATCTTGGAAACAGCCTAGTGTTTTGCCAACACCATGTTCTGCTTTGATTATGTGTATTCTGTGTTTACAGTTGTCCTTGCCTTACCACTAGTAGTTATAATATTTAAAAACCCCATAATTCAGGTAACAGATGTTGCCTCATTTAACAGTCATTAGGTTTTTTTCCTTCTCTCTTTCTAAAAGATATAACTCAGTACTATAAAGGACATGTAAACCATATATAGGCTTTGACTCAGAGTCAGTTGAAAATTTCTACATTAACTCCAATGTTTTTAGAAAGTATCCCTAATGGATACTTATGGGCAGTATTTTAAAAGTGACACCTAAATTTTAAGATTGGCTTTTATAGTTACAAGTCACTTTTTATTTTTAATGTGGATGCTTTTTTCAGTGAGTGATTTCGACAGAAGAGAGGAGAAAAGCAGAGATTCAATGTTAAATGGGGATTCAATGTTAAACAGTGATAGGAATAGTGGTGATGAACATATTTAGGCTGCTTCCAAAATGAGTTACTCTTTCACACTTTGAGCACAGTAGACTAGTTCTACTGTCCATTAATGCAGTGGGCAAACCCCATGCTACTGTGCTAATAATACACAATAGAATTAGTCTACTGCACAGTAGCATCACCTATAGTTGTGTGTGCCAATACTGAACTACTGTTCAGTAGTGCCAGTTACTGTGCATTTAGTTAGTACCTGTAATAACCATGCATTACAGGTACTACCTCTTATTACAGGTACTACCTAAGGGCATGTGTAGATGAAACATGAGTCCTAAATTGAAGTGGTGGGTTTTAAAAAACACTGCTTCAATTTTGGACTGATTAAACCTCTGTGTTGTGCACACACCCCACTGACTTACCTGCCTCTCTGGTGGGAAGGGGAGGGTGAGCTGCTGGTGGGCAGAGCAGTCCCTGGGCTGTGGGGAGGGCTGGTGCTTTCCCTCTGTGGCAAGGATGCCCTCCTGCCCCCAGGCAGCACCTGCAGGCAGGCAGGCTCTGGGGGTGGGGGGGAGATCAGGCTTGCTGCTTTTTTTGGGTGAAGCCTGCCTTCCTGCGCTGCTGTTAGGCTTCCTGCAGAGCCATCAAGCTGCACTGAGGCCAGTGCTTTGCTCCATGGCTGTAGGGGCAGCAAACTGAAGGAGTTTTAGTTTGCTGCGCCCCAAGTCATTTATGGCACATCACGTCGCTGAATTTCCTACAGCGACTGGAATTAATGCGCAACACACTGCCAAGGCATGCAAACACCGACACCATTAAAATGGTGCAAAAGCATTTAGCCCGCTTTAAAGTCTCGTGCACACATGCCTCTCATTTTGTCTACGCACAGCCTAAATGCGCAGTAACCACTGTGCCTTAATACACATGTAGATGTGCCCAGTGAGCAGTAATACTAAAGGTGTGGCTGTCCTTTCATTGAGTATAGCACAGCACTGCCTGTAGTGGCATATGCAAGTGACTATTTTTAAAAAGAAAATGGTATTGTACCATGAATTGTTCAATGTTTTTCTTCTAGTATGAATATCCAAAAATGAATAAAAATGAACCAAGCTTGTATTTAATATACATTTACATTTTTCTGGTAGATAGCAAACTGGGTACTCGTTTTTAACATGTATTCTTGTTTTTAGAGCAGAACAAGAGAATGCTTGTATTAGTAACATGGTGCATATCTACATTCCAGACTCGGGCATCTTTGATGATAAAAATATGTGCAGCCTGGTATATGTATTTTATAGTGATTTAAAAAAAAACAAAACAGGAAAATAATTCAATGGGGGAAATAATTCAACAATTAAATGCATTTTTCTTATCTCAACACATTTTTTTTCCATTTAATATACAAAGGAAAGTATAGTAAAATGAAAGGCAGGAAAGACATGTTTGCTAGTAACTTCAAATTCTGCATAGAAATGTGTAGTTCCTTGTGTAGTGGAGCTCCTAAAGAGCCCAGTATAGTTTTGGTTCTAGTGGCACTTAAATGGGGCTTAGGCAGAATTTAGGTATCCAATTTTAAAAGTTTAGCTCTGCTCCAGAAACCACAAAACGTAGGTGCCTAAGTTCATGCTGTACTTCAAGCTTGCACCTCCAAATAAATGCTATAACCACTACGTTATAAGGGCAGGTTTCCTGTATTTGTTCTTGTGGCCCTATGGCTTTTTCACCTTTCGTTACCCAGTGGCCCTGCTTCAGTAGGAGGGGATCTGCAAGATGTGTGTTTCAGGTTGAGGAGCACCTATAATCTAGGTCTTACACTTCCTTGGCAAGTGATCTAAATCAATATGTTAGTGGGCAAAAGGTGGCCAACACCATGAGTCAGTTAGATGTCTACCCTCAGATGTGGGGTTAATAGTTGATTGCAAATATATGGAGGTATCTAATGTGCCACCTTAGTCAGACACCTAAGCTACCAAAAGGAGTGGGATTTCAGATGCATCCCTGTGCTTTGTATTTCTTACTGGCTACCCTTGGCATATCCAGGCTCTCTGCATCACCTTCTGAAGGTGTCTACCTCTCCTAGTATTCTTTCTAAAGTACCAGTGTACCTAAGCTTGGATCACTCTTGGAAGACGCCTAGACTGACCCTTGGATATTTGATTCCTAAATCCTGTCAAATTGTAAGGTGCTCTGGTATGGGGATGTTTAAATGTCCATGGAACCAAATTGGATCATGTCTGAAAAGCCTAACTTTGCATTTTCCCTCCTTGAACCTCACATAGACTTTGGTCTGAGTTTTGGATGAGCAAGGAATGACGGGGTAAGTCCCAAAATCTGTGTTTTTCACTTTGTCTAATTTTCTTTGCAGCACTGCTGCTGTGATAACTAATGGCTTTTAAGTCATTATCCATTTAAAAAAAAATTTTTTTTAGTTAAGCTACCATTCTAAGAAGAGGGACAGTCAATAAGATTCTAAACATTTATCTTACAGAGAGGGAACCCCTCATTCCAGGATGTGTTCATTTTAGCTCATTAGTAAAGTGTATGCAGACCTTCCATCACTTTATTTTCAGCAAACTAATCTGTTCCAAAAAGTAAAGGCTGTTTATGCTCATACAAGTAAGCCTTCTAAACAGACACACTAAACACAGCAGCACCACCACGTGTGGCCATAAACATTCGAACTTTACCCATATTTGCCATCATTGGACCTCCAGGGTTCTGGATTTGGTCCTTGGTAAGGGATGGTAGGGTCTTCTGGGACATCCTGGAGGGGATCATGAGGCCCAGCAGTGTCCCTAAAAGGGGGGCCTTCTGTGTCACACAGTCACTCTGGTTTCAGGGACCAATCCCTATCTCAAGTTCAGAGGTAGTGCAAGGAGGAATTAACAGCTCAGGTCTGACTCTATTTAGACTCAACACTTTCAGACAGCAGGGGCCAACCTTTGCACCCATTCCACAAATTAGTTTCACATGCCCCCTGCGTGCCATGCTGATCCCTTTCCCCAAGCCTATCTACTGTTCTGCTTTCTGTTCCCTGCCCTGTGCTTCCTGCCCCATCTGCTGCTTTGTGTTT